CTAAGAAGAGTCATAGTGAAACACTTTAAAACACATTGGTTATTTATAAACCTATCCTGAGTTTTTTAAAAAAACCTGAATTGGGCTAAAAGTAACACTTATAGGTAGGTACATATTATAAGATACATCTAAATTATATAGTACTAATATAATGTTATTTATTTATTTGGATTTGTTATACCACTCACTTCCACTATGGCTATCCCATAAGTCCAAAACATATATTAAAAATAGAAGTAAAAATCACATCTGCATGGACCAACATGCAAAAAAGTTCAACAAGGGTTCCTATAACATAGTTTATATTGTACCTGTGCAAAATGGGAAGAATCTATTCTACTGATTTCAAAATGACCAAATCAAACAAATATATTTCCCTTCACACTGCTGGATCAAAAGCTAGACATATGCCTAGCATATAAGCTCGTTTAAAGGATGGTCCGACTCTTCTATTCTCACCTAACAAAACTGAATCCTCTCTTTCAAAGCTGTGACCTTTCACTAATCTCTCTCTATTATATCTTGTCTCACTTGTTATCTTCTTTCCTTGGAACAGACTTTTTTTTTCATACAGATGTCTTCCATCTGTTTGTTCCTTCCATGACCCAAGCCAGCATTCCTGACTCATGCTGCATCTCCAACTATCTACTTTTTTTTTTCCTTTCTAGAAGGTCATGGACACAACTATTATCATATCTTGGAAACCAAAAGTCTAAATTCTCCTGGGCACCGCAAAGTAGCCGTTTTGTTATCGTTTAAATATGCAAAGTAACATTTATCTTAGCTCCCCCTTAGGAAAGGAGGATTTCACGCCCAGCCTAAATCTTCCCTCTCTCTTCTTCAGTTAAGAAGAAAGAAGCTAAATTAAGTTTTTTAAATAAGTTAGCACCGTAATAACGTTTCAGACTATTCAAAAAAAAAAAAAAAAGCGACGGAGAGAGGATACAAATTTAACCCAGCGCCAGGCATCGCGCAGGGCGGGAGTCAGATTTGGAGGAAGGGGGGAAAAGGCAATTTACTTTGGCTATCCTACATCCTCCCCAGATGCGTTGGGCTCCAATATTCCCCACCACAATATTTATGGATGTGGCAGTCCAACCTATTTCGCGAGCCGACGCGAGGACTTAGCAGAGGAAAATTGGGAGATGTGCGCCCTCCCTCGCCCCGCCGTGTTTCCGAGCGAGCTCTCACCCTGGCCGCAGGCGCCCCTCTGAATGGCGATGACGGGAGGTTGATGCTGGCTTTCGGAGCGCTGGCTAGCGGTCCTCAGCTGGCACAAGTTGCCGTAGCTTCTTCCATCGCTGCCACACACCGGTTCGTTCCCGGCACACACGCAGTGGCCGGCTTTGGCTCGCCTGCGCACCGTGGCCGAAGCCGCCACTCCGGGTCCCCCGGGCGAGAGCACACATAACAGCCCTTCGGCACAGGACGGCTCCCCGTACGGCGACCCTCCGCAAGACTCGCCCTCTTGCGCGGCACACACGGGGCAGCAGCCGCAGGAGTCGAGCGTCTGCCCGCTTCCCGCGCACTCGGTGGGCACCTCCGGGCACCGCGCGCGGTCGCAGAGGTCAGGGCAAGCCCGCTCTTCGTAACGTCGCCCGAAGGCTTGAGCCGAAGCTCCCGGGAGCAGGAGCAAGAAGAGGCACGGCCACCAGCCGCTGGGCGCCAAAGGCCACAGAAGGGCTTTCATCATTGCTTTCTCACAAGGCGCGGAAAATCCAGCGAGCGAAACACGCGCAACGGATCGGGACGGCGCGGCCCAAGTGAGGAGGGAAGGAGGGTCCTGGCGCGCGGCAACAGGGAAGTGGAATCCCTGCCTGGCAAAAGCGCGGAGAGCAACTGAGGAGGGAAGCGCTGCTTTAAAAGGAGCCGCCGCCGCCGGCGGAGAGGTTGGATGAGCGCGTGGAAAACGCCGCTGGCTTGAGGAGCCGTCTGGGAGGAGACTTGGCGCCGTTCTGCAAGGCTGGACAAGGGAAGGGCGTCTGCTGCCGCGCCAAGGGGGAGTGCAAATTGCAGCAAGCTCACGGAACTTTCCCCCCTCCCCTTTCAGAGTTTTTTTTTAAAGCAATTTTATTAATATTGAAAGGCATGGCTCTATCATTTATATCAGGTGAACATACTGGCCATAAGAATCCTCCCCCCATATTTTCTGTAATCCTTTATACCTAGTTCCTGCACGTTTTCTATAAGTAGATCATCCTATCAGCCAACCTAGAGTTCCAAACTTAGCTCAGATCCATCCTGTTGCTTGGGGAATGCGCCATAAATGTTGTTTCTCTCTCTCTCTCTCTCTCTCACACACACACACACACAAACGTTTTAAAAATCCTGGTCTCAGATGTTGTGAAATATTCACCTGGGTTTTGGTTGAGCTTTCAAGAATATACCTCAAGCTGGTTGACACCTGCACTTGTGGCTCATACAGATATATAGCTGATCTTAAGCCCTGTGCAAATTGGATCAAAAATGCAGTTTTTAAAAAACGTTATGTTTGGGAATTAACATAGTTGGCCTACTGGTAAGGGAATTGAAGTGTTTTAACTGTAAGATGCAGTGATATGTAGGATGCCAATAAGCACAGCCTCAAAGAATGTGAACTTTCCCCACATTGTCCTACAAAATTCCCTCACCATCTCTATTTGTTTCTATGACCTACTCACTTTATATTCCAGTTTGCAAATACTCATATGAAAAATAGTTATAAGGCAACATATTTCTATTAGTTTATCAAAATGTTATTTTTCCAGAATATTTACATTGGTTGGCTAATATGGCCTGTGCTTTTAAGAAAAGAGCTGTAGGTCATAATTTGAGATGCGGTCTTCCAATGGGATCACTATATTCTGTCCTAAACACAAACTTCCCGGAAAGTTTCAAATTTCTAGGACACAGAAAAGCATTCTCTTTGTCCTCAGAATACCTTCCTATGCTGCTGCTAATACATTTGCAGTATCGTGCACACACACACAAAAAAGATTGCTGGAACGCAACCAGCCTGCTACTTAGCTAAGGAAAATTTAGGACACTTACTGACATTCAAGACTGCCTTTTCAAATGCTAAGCTAAGTGATGCAAATAGGTTTTGCACTCAGAAAAATAAGTTAAATCCTTAGAATGCCAATAAAACTCCTTCTTATATCAAACAAGATGGTGATGCAATATTTCTCCTATTCTGTTATTAATAGGAAATACTAGGAAACTATAGGAAATATTACTGAGGAAAGCAAGCAAAGAACTTACCAGAAATCTCAGTTGGATTCTTTTTACTGTCCTGTAAAGCCATTAATTACCCTATGAAGATGGCAGCTGTCTGTTAGTTGCTTTTAACTGTATTTTTGTTTACAATTCATGTTATTTGTAAACTTTTTGGGAGTACTAGGCATGATTTAATAATGATAAAATATACATACAGGAAATCAGTGTCACTTTTTGTCAGTTTGTCTTATAATGGGATGTGAACCATATGATTGCTTTGATACTATCTCAAGAAAAATGAGCTACTTTGGGCATAGCTCCAGTATTAAGGCAGAAGTAAGGTAGCTATAGGCTGCCAAGTATTATTGAATCACAATTCCTGGTAGCAGGACATTTGGCCACAATAATCAGAACTTTCAGAAGTTCTAGTTCAGTTACCAGATGTTCCCTCTTCTCATATTATTAAAAACAGAAGTCCTTCCAACAGCATATTAAAATGCATCTAGAGTCCCCAACAGGATTTTAAGCTAGCTAGAAAGACCAGCTTTACTTTTGGTTGGAAGCTTCCTTCCAGTTTCTTTCCTGATAATTTTCTTCTGTACTGTTATTAGGGTTAAAAGCTTAAAAGGGTTCTTCCTCTATTTTCTAATGTTGGGTGTTATACTGTTTCATAATTGTATTTATCCAATTTAGACACCGCTTATTTCATCACACAATAGTCTGCTACTATTTAATCTGTTTGAATTTTCATCTGAACTTTTAAATATGCATCATGGAGGGTAGTCAGTTTTTCTCGGATAAGCTATGGTTTCTGAACCCTCATTCTTCAGTATCATTCAAGGCTAACCTGTCACATGTGAGGACTGCACATATAAAAACACATGTATACAAATTGGCATATTTAATAACATACTCTGACAGATCACACCAAAATGTTTTCAGCAATAGTTTTTTACAACCTAGTTTTTACCATTGAGGAATATTACCTCTTTAAAATGTTTCTGATAATAAGATTAATTGTATTAATGGAGCTACCGGTAGATTTTTTTAATGTTTGCTTTTTGATCAATTAAAAATATCACTTTTAAGATTTTTGGTGAATCTGAAGGGCAGAACAAAGTTTGCAAAAATAGTTTCATTCACTGAACAATTTGTCTTTTGATGTACACTTAAATGTAGTACTCTGATAAGATTATTATAGTTCATTATTTATGTCAATTTATTAACAGGTGTGACATTTACAGAAAACACCACAGGTTCCAAATAAATTAACAATTTTCTTCAATTTTATATAAAAAGTACTGATAAATTAAAAGTCCTGACAATTTGCCAACCACAAGCATTTCCCACACTATTGAATTATCTAAGCAGTTTGATTTTAAAGGAATCCATAAGATTGCTGCTGTGATTACACTTCACTATTGAAAACTGGTAATATTCAAAGAATAAAAGGAACATGCAATGTAGAAATTGTACCAGAACCAGTAAACCTACCACAACATCAAGGTATGGCAATACAACAAACAATCCAACTCAGTTTCATCCAGAAAATACTTATTGTGAAAAATAAAGACTTTCATACATTTGCTAAATCTGTTACAAGTTAAAATGTATTCTCCTGAATTAGACTGAACAGAACATCTACCTTAATTCACATGTAACTGAGAAGGCAAATAAAATGTAATTTACAAACATTGCTTGTAAATATTTAGCTTATAATTGAGAAATATAAAGGTACTGCTGTATCGGAGCAATCTGAAAGAACATCACAGAAATTTGGCATTCTACTATCTTTTTAGGCCTTGTCCTTTTTTATTTCAGTTTTTAACATCTACAGATTTGATCCACATAAGTTTTTATAAATGTAGTTAGTATATTTAACAATAGATGTATTCTTGAAAGACAAGTTATTCAGCAAATTTCCACAATCACAATAGCTGTGATCCAAACTGTTTATTGGATGGCAAACAGAATTGTAGCTAAGTGGGAACAACAGTGAAAATTCCCTATGAGACAAATTTAATGAAAAAGCTGGAAAGTGACTGATTCAGTTTGTCAGTGATATAAAATACCTATGTCTTTTGAGTTTATGTGCAGAAACAAAATAGGATGGCAAAAATGTTCTCTTTTACAAGTGCCAAATGATTCTTCTTGCAAATATAAAAGCCTGAGATCAAGATTTTGTGGGGAAGTTATATCTGGGGAAATTCATTTGGGAGCTAGAGACTATATAGTTAAAGGTAGTTAAAAGGACCATAAATCAAACACTTAAGCATTAGGAAGGACAAATGAAATGTAAATAATAATGTCATGTTTCAAAATGCAGGTCCACCCAGGCTCATAATTGTAGAAGAGTTGGGTGTACAAAATAGGATATATACATGGAAATAAACACATAATTGGACTTCTTGTATTACTCTAAACACCCTATTTTATACATATGGCACACGGAAAGCAGGTATGGGCCATTTATTCTCTCAGCCCAACCCACTTAAAGTTGTTATTATTGGGGAAAAGAGGAAGAGACAGGAGTATTAGGTATGTTCACCACCTTGAGTTACTTATAAAAGTAATAAAAGCAGGATAAAAATCTAATAAAAGCAGGAATGTGCTGGTCATTGCTTAACTCAACGGTTCTTAAACTGTTTGATTCAATTATTCCTCTTCCAAGTAATGTCACTATCCCCACCCACCCCCAAAAAATCCAGGCTGTTGTTTTACACAGACATCTTGGCATCTTCAGTCCCAAACTGGATCCTTGACTCACAAACATGCAGTTACAAATTGCTTCATTACTCTCAACTACCCACTTGGGGAAAATTACCTCCCCCCAATACACACCCATTTAAGAACCACTGGTCTAACTGAAGTTCTCTAATAGGATAAAATAAAAGGTTTCTTGCTCCCATTGCTACTATAATTTATGCAAGCAAGTAACAAGTATTTTTAAAATTAGAATATCTTTTAAAAGCTGTGACAATATGTACAATCTAGTCAGCTTAGTAAAAATCTATATATCCTCCCTGAAATGGAGACAGTTGTAGAATCATCCTCTTTCTTTCTTTCTTTTTTTTTAAAGACAGTAGTGGAAATTTGAAGGGAACAACACACTACTGCTCTTAACTTAATGGAACATCCCTTTCAACTAATTTGAAAATTTTGGCTTTTGCTCCACTAAGACATAAGTCAAAAGAACGCCTAGTTCACTGGAATAGTGGAGGATTTTTTTGCTTAAATATCTCCATTCATGCTTTAGAATTTCTCAAGCATAACATACACAAAATATTATACAATGGAAAGTATAAATTGCATAAAGAAGCAGCATGTGAAACTTTGGGCCTTTTGTTGATTAAACAGATTTTTTTCACTACCTGCCTATAAAATAGTGCATTCTCTTTTTGATCAATTATCCAGCATCAGCTTTTTAAGCCTATTATTGTCACTGAACTGAACAAATTTCCAGTTTGAAAATCATTATGCACAACTCAGATACTGGCATGCTGGAAACTGCATAAGCATTTCACCTGATACACATGCTGAACCATATCACACAAGGCTCAAAACCAGAAAAATAAATCTATTTAACCCCCAAACTTTTAACGTATCATGAAGAAAGAACCCACAGGCACTTTTAATAAATACAGTGCACAGAAGTTACAGGCCACAGTTGCATGATGGAATAATTCAGTACCAATTAATAGCATGAAGCAGAGTTTGTTCAGTCTTTTACTGACCAAATATAAAATGGGAACCAGTTACAACTCACTGAAGCAGGGAGGAGAGGGGAGATCACACAAGAGAAAACAAAATTTGGAACAATTGTTTTAAATAATTACTGCAAAGCCCATTATAAAATATTTCATTAAATCTTTAAAAGATTTAATAGTTTATGTTCCCTAGTTTTTTTAAAAAATCTACATAATACCTTTATTTTGGTGGTCCATCAATATCCAAATGTGCAAAAGTTACAATTTACCTTTAGGAGTGCATCAAAAATAGGTTTAATATTCAAAATAGCTGTATTATGATAATGTAAATTTTACAGCACCAGTTTTCTGTAATTCTAAAGGATTTGGATTCTATGGAAGGGCAGTGATTTACAAAGCATTTATCAGAAGATCCAATTAAGTCAGCACATTTAGATTACTGTAAATAATCTGTGGGCCTTTCTTATAAGCTTTCTTTTCTCATAGAGATTCTCACTTATTGTACTTTAACAAATATTATATTTGTTATGAGCAGTTTTTGTGCCTTGAATACATAGATTGCTCAAATCTAAGCATTCATTGTAAGGAAAACATACCTCATTTTAGATACTGCAGCATGGTGTTTTTCTTAATTTCTTAACATGAAATATTCTTAACATGGAAAATCTCTTTGCATAGGAAAAGTGCATTACATTGCCTCTACTGTTACACTCTGCAGTCCTGACAATCAAAGAACACTGTATACATAGATGCCCCAAAAACCTGTGCCAGTATTTTTAGAAAATAAGCCGATTTGGTTGACAATAGCCTGAATTACAAGATCATTAAGCTGTAAATTGGCTTTAAAAAAATAGCATTAAGGGTGTTTTTTTTCAGTTTTGCTAAACTGATGAAGAACAGCTGGTACCTTGCTTAAATAATTTTTAGATCAAGTATCATCTTTCGGCCCCTTCCTATCAAAAAGATTTGTCTTCAGGGTACAGAAAAAGCAAAAAGTCTGCTCTGATACACAGTGCAAGGCAGCATATAACTATTAAAACATACAAAATTTTGAATGTATGCATACACAAAGGTCAACATAAGCAACGTTCTATGTTTTGTTCTTTCTATCTTTGGCTAAAAGTCTGAGAAAGGAAATTCAAGGACCAAAACAATTCTTAATTTTCCAGACTCTTCCCCATCATTACACATCACTAACTGGAAGGCTTGCATCATCCAGATCCACTGGATCAGGATCCGGTTCCTGAGTGCCATTTTTACTTTGAGGTTCCAATAGGCCTTGCAGAGTCACTTTGGAAGTTGAGTTTCTTGAAGGGACAGCCTGGATCTTGAAGCTCCCTGATTTGGCCGTGGTAAAAGATTCATGAAATCTTCGCTTCTCCAAGACAGGGGGTTTGCTGTTAAGGGTTTGGACCAAAGTGGGGCGGTGAGCGGTTGTGGAATGTGAGGTGGCTGCTGCTGTTTTTGTAGGACATTTGGATTCTGAACAGCTGGAATGCTCCTGTAAAGGAGAAATAATTATCTGATTAAGTTGGTCATTTATTCCATGTTAATTACTCAATTCAGACCTACATCACTGAAATAATGAAAAGGGAAATATGAAGCAAGGCATAAGAGCACAAAGCAAAAGCTTCTCCGATGCAGCACAATGTTAAGACTGTGAGCATACAGCATTGTGTAATAGCAAGCTAAAACAGCCAAGACAAATCCCTAAATCTAGCATGAAAATCTTTTAATTCTGTCAGTGCAATTGCACTGAGTTATTATGCCCAATGCTATCAATCTCCCAGAACAGATTTCCCCCTTACTTGCCACGAGCCCATTGTGAGCATACCACTGGCAGCGTTTTGAAGAAACTGTCAATTTTGAGAATTTGCAAATAGGATTAAATACTTTTTGAAATCTAAACCTAAAAGAATTTCAAGAAACTAATCCCATAAATTCATGCAAGTGTATTCACTTGTAAAAAAGAAGTATAATTAAATTCTTAAAATTTTATGTGAATTAAATTTATCTTTTCGTTCATCTGTGCTTTATTCCTTAATTATTTGTTCTATTAAATCATAGTGATATCTGATTTTGCTGGTCAATATTTCCAAATATAATATAATATGTTATGTAGTTTGACTTTTTCTATATTGTACTCTACAATGGTAGCTGTTGCTTTGATGGTGAACTATTTATTATATTCAGTATTTTTCATACTTATTAAATATGATCATACCATTATTGAGTTCTGCATTTTAATAGTATGCTTAATGAAAACTGCAGAAGATAATTTCTACAATAAGCAAGAAACATAAAAGAATTAATCTGAAAACTGAGGAAAAAAATTCACAAAAAATTCTGAAGAGTATTGAATAATATTCATCAATTAAAATCAAAGTGCAAGGTATGCTGAAAATTGGCAACCACTATAACTTATCCTGTATTGGAACAATTGGGAATTTAATCTAAAATTACATCAGAATATGAAGCTTCTTAATAAAAGATAGCAAGACCATAGCAGTCTACTTGTCTGTTCCAGAAATGTTATCCATTTCCTGCCAAATTTTGGAATTAGTTTCCAATCAACCTAAAGTGGAAGTTTCTGACCATCTGAAAGTTTTAAAAGTTGCACTTAGATGAACAAGCAAAGACTGGTTTAGGATAACATTTCAAAATGTTCTTCTAGTTTAAGTTAGAAATGAGCCTCTTAACATGTTAATACTTCAATGAACAAAATATTCTCTTATTTTGAAAGGTAGGCTTGGTATAAAATTTTCCATTTTTATTACACAAATCATTAGCTGGAGAATGTGCTGCTTAGCTAGATTCAGAATTAGCCTGGTCAACAAATTTTTATAATGTTGAGCTGATTATCAAGATAGAATAAACCGTGAACAGGTCTACAACGATTTATAAATTCATCTAAGTGAAGGAAGGTAAAGAAGAAAGTTGGTACAAAAGTGATCAGAAATAAATATTTTAACACAAAATGATTGTGTAAAGTAATTTTTAAATACAAATTTCTTTTCTAAAGTGAATACTATATAAACATTTCTATAACATTTTTAAATTGAACTCAAGCAAGATTTGTGCTGGAGCAGCATTTCAAATATTTCAATTTGTAGTTTTGTGATAAGACACAAATTTTGTGATTAGAATATAAAAGGCTTAGATTCATTATTTTGATTAACCACAGATTAGTTAATCAAACTAATTTAAGCTATTACAATCCCTGCATCTTGACTAATGATCCCATGCATATATATTATAAAACCCATGCAGGTTGGTTGATTATGTTTTTCTTAGTGTGCATACTTTATGTACACACATTTAACTATTAGGTTCTGAGAGGCTTTTATTTAGCTGTGTTTTAAAATGATTAAATTTAAATATGAACTCTCATGCAAATTAGGCCAAACATAGTTTCTGTCTCCATGAATTTGCTACTAGAGCTTTTCTTCTCAATGAAAGGAACAGAGATTTAGCAAGGGAATGTTTGCCATTCTGAGAAATAGATTTTATTTAGAAAGACCAAATTTAATAGCCAATGGAAAATGTTTCAGAAGTTAGTAATTTCATGGTGATAATGATAAAGAAACCACAAGATCAAGTTCATCATTTTATATGGTGTTAATAAATGTTTTGGATTTCAGCCCTCTGATGAAATGGCAGGTTTACATGAGAGCCCACATACGTGCTGCATTCACCAGTTCTTGATGTATACCTCTGTATACAAGGATTCGACAGCCTTCTGGCCTGCCGCATCTGGAACACAGTGCAAAGCTAAGATTAGAGTAACCTAAACTTGAGAAGAGGAAGGGAGGAAGAGAGGAAAGGAAAGAACTGCTGATAGCCACTAGTAGAGTTATCCCACCACAAAAATTAAAAACACACCAAAGACACAAAGGAGTACCCATTCCCAATAACCTTTCCATCAACTAGAATGCATTCCGTTCCCAGAGAGTTTTTAAACGATAGTGGCAATTGATTAGACTGTTTTAATCCATTTTTGCAAAAAAGGTGGATTGTTTTAATATCACCAGGCTGTATACAAGCTAGAATAAACTTCTAGTATATTGACAGAAATAAAAAACAATATTGCTAAAAATGAATGACTTAAAAAAACAATCACCATAGCACATTATAACAATTATATACTTAGTAGTATAAACATATGTTTGATTGAAAAATATGCCATCTATGAAACAACTACATAATTACTGACACTTATTAACAGTTTGGCAATATTATCCTTGTAACACCAGCTGTTTAAAAAGGAAACCTAGAATCTTTTTAAATTACAAACTCTGTGCTAAGAGGACTGAAAATTAAAGGTTTCAAAGAATTCTATTCCAAGGTGCTTTAAATCAATTTAGGGATGTCTCAAGCACAAAATTCAGAAAAAGATCATATAAATTCACACAATTCATTTTGGTCCAATTAAGAGAGCACAGATTAACGTCTAAATATTAAAATAATACAGAAAGACAGAAATAGTTTTTTTTTTTAAAAAAGATTAGCATTGAGTCAAAAACTTAACAGTCTATGCAAGTTGTAATGCATGCAAATGTGTTACCCCAGATCTAGGAAAAAGGTTGACTGATAAAAAGAGTATGTGCAATACTGATTATTGCTAAAATATCATCATTTAAGTTGTTTAAAAACATACGGAAGCTGCTGATCTTCCAGGTCCCCGTTGGGCTACTATTGCACCAGAAATGGCTTTAATCCAACTATGCATGTCTTCTGGGCTATCGGCCTAAAATAAGAGTAATATAAAACTTTTGTCGAATTTCAGTTTTAGATTTAAAAGTATTTTACCTATACAACATAAGAATATGTCAAATATTTTCCTCATGAACAGATTTAAAGAGTTTAATCTAGACTGATCCTCATGAAAAAGATTTACTACAATAGTGTATTTAAAGCACAGTTCATGACATCGCGGCCACTATTTTGGAAATAGTTATATAAAGCCATTTTCTACTTCCTGAAAAGAAAAATCCTGGCAGGTGACCATAGCTATTTTCAGATATTTTTCAATGAATAAGGATATGAAAAGCCCATTAATAATTATTACAACTTCCTTGTTACCAACCTAACTACTGAAGAGGATTCATCAGTATGTTATTTAACCTCAATATGCACTGAAATTATGTGAATAATTTATAATGTTCTAAAAAAGGAACAAACAAGGAAATTGAAGACTTCACTGGGAAAAAGAAAAAAAGTTTAGAAAAGTCAAGTAAGTATAACACTGCCATGCATTTTAAAAAGTCTCAGAAAATCTCAGAAACAAACCATCGTAATAATGTGGCATCACCATAGTACACAGAACAACTAAAACCCTCCATCTTAAGTAAACCAAGAGACCCAATAGTCAAAGAGGGGAAAAAGGGAACAAAAAAACCCCAGGAGTCATCTATACATGCAGTGTAAGGACTGCAATAGCTACTATGTAGGATAGATAGGCAAAGATTAACTGAGCACATTTATAAACAATAACTAGGAAGATATGTAAACTTCTTAAACTTACAATACATGGGCTTGACTCAACCATAGTTTCAACTGGGAAACTGTGAACATCCTAGATCAAGCTAAATCCAAAAATGCTGGGGAATTCTTGAGACAAATCAGCCATCAATAGACACATAAATCACAATTTCACACCATCCAAACACCTACTATGGTAAATACTCTCAAACTTCACTAATTACACTCCACTTCACTAATTCTCTGCAAATTGGGAAGCCCTAGTTCATGTTCTTTTTAGTTGCAAAATTAAATTAGTTGTGGTTAATATACGTATATTCAAATGTATATTTGAAAGGAAATGGAAATTTGTTACCTTACATAAAATGCACAAATAGAAGACTTACTTGTACATAAAATGTTCGAGAAGTTGTTACAATTTCAAAAAGATTGTCTCTCATCATAATATCACTGAAAAACATACAAAAATGTAAACATAATGCATTGTTAAAATCAAATTCTAGCTCATGTATCTGATACAGAAAAATGCATTCAGTTTTAAAATATCTACTTTGACAGTAATTAAATTACATGGAGGTAGTCCTCATTTAATTATCACTATTAAGACCAGCAACTTTAAACAAAGCAATCACTAAATGAAAGTGCAGGTGTACTTATGGTCTTGTTTCAGCTTCTCTTTGCTTTAGGACTTGCAAAGATCATAAATACAAAATCTGATCACCAACATTGTAGCTATAAATAGTTGTTAAATGAGGACCACCTGCACTATATGGATAATCAGTTGTTATGCTTGATTAGTGGACTTTTTTGCCACTTGTTAAACAAATTATTTTAGTTGTTAAGTGAATCACATATTGTTAACTGAATCCAGTTTCCCCCATTAACTTTGCTTGTTAGAGTTGGCTGGAAAGGTCACAAATGACAGTCGCATGGCCCCAGGACACTGCAATCATCATAAATACATGCTGGTTGCCAAGAGAACGCCCCCCCCCACCAGCTTTGTTTTTGCTGGCAGAGGGCTATCAGAACAAACTAAAAATAAAACAAAAGGAGAAATGTTTCCCCTTTTGCATTTGAGCATGCAAGAAGGGACAGGAAAGGAAAAAGGGAAAGAGAAAAGACAAAGGAAAAGGGAAGATGGGAAGAGAGCAAGGAAGGAAAAATAAGGAAAGAGGGGAAGGAAGAAGAAGAATGAAGAGGAAAGTAAAAAGAAGAAAAGGGAGGGAGGGAGGAAGGAAGGCAGATTATAACGAGAGTGTGGAAGGGTATCAGGGAAGTCCTGCCTTAGCACTTGGCCACAACAGGTGCCCCTGACATGACTCTCCTGTCACGCCCACCATGGCCATGCCCACTCCTGCCCACACCCACTTATGGACACACATACCCTGGCCACACACCCCAGCTCTCCAAGGTTAAATACAGCCCTCAATGAAATCGAGTTTGACACCCATTACATGTAGATTATTATCAACTTTTTGGCACAACCTCCTTAAGGGTGATAATCGGACAAAGTCAAAGCTAAGACCTGTACTTCCCGATTTATATATTGTCTTCTTCTTTCAAAACTTAAGGCAAATATGTCCATTGCTGAATCTTACCTAAGCATACTTGTCAAATTAAACAAGATAAACATGGGATTAAAACATACATAAAAGATGTCCTAAGAAACTTCATAATGCCATAAGAGAATCACCTGGTAACTTAATGAACTGCATGCTTTGATGTATTATTTGTGTTTGTAGCTAGGAAATCTTTAGGAAAGTGTTTATTTAGCCCAGATTGATTTTTCATTCTTTTACAAAGGCATTATTTGAAATATCCTGAACAATAATGCAATCAACCCTTTCAAAATAATATATCTGAAATATCCCCCTACTTTCATCCATCCTTCTACCCAAGTGCCTTATATAAGCAGTGCCCTGTTCAGTGGTGGGATTCAAATTTTTTTACTACCAGTTCTCTGGGCGTGGCTTGGTGGGCATGGCAGGGGAAGGATATTGCAAAATCTCCATTCAGAGGTGGTATTTGCCAGTTCTCCGAACTACTCAAAATTTCCACTACCGGTTCTCCAGAACTGGTCAGAACCTGCTGAATACCACCTCTGGTCCTGATGAATGAGACTTCTGGCCATTTAGTCTAGCAGACTATTTTCTCTGCAACCAACCAACAGCACAGAGAAACCCACTACTCTCCCAGCAGATGGCTTTCAGAAGCAGTCAAACTGCTACCAAAGCTAATACTAGCAATAGCAATTAGACATATTTATTTATTGATTTATATTGCCGCCTTTATAATGCTTTACAGCCCTCTCTAAGCGGTTTACAGAGTCAGCATATTGTTCCCAACAATTTTATCCATCTCAGAAGGATGGAAGGCTGAGTCAACCTTCAGCCTGGTGAGATTCGATCTGCCAAATTACAGGCAGCTGGCTGCAGCAAAAGTAGCTTGCAGTACTACACTCTAACCACTGCGCCAATGAGGCTCTTATTATTAATACTCATTCTTCCCCCTGACTTTCATGAATTGCTCCAACCTCTTGTTTGAAATCAGCATAGCATTCTTGCTACCTTATATATCATTTTATATCTGCTCACATTGAGTGCATTTGCCCTTTTGATACTTGCGTCATTAATTTGCAGTGACCCCTTTGAGCTCTGGGTAGTCCTTTACTACTTTGAAAAATTCAATATCAGCAGCAAATTTGGCTCCTCGACTAATTAGACTTAATTCCAGACAATTTTAAAAGTGTTAAAAAGCACCAGTCCTTTCAAGTCATGTTCAAGGTGACTACTTCTCTGCAGTTTTTTTGAAAGCACTCCTTGGAAATGACTTGATTTTGTCTTTTGATTTTTTTTTAAAACCTGCACAATCTAATCAGAAGCCCTGCAATTCCTACACTGTCTCCATCCAAACACTAATCAGGATTAATCCTGTTTTATTTCAACCACAGCTTGGTGGTTCCACCTTTCTAAAGTTTCATTATAACATTCAAATAACTACATTTGTCAGTTAAAGATATCCTATGTTTAAATAATTTGACTTTATAACTTGATCATAAAGCAAATGAAATGTATTAAATTAAGATGAGAAACAGCATGACCAGGGTTTCTTATTCCAATTACATATGATTTGATACCTTTACAATTCTCACCTTTGTTTACATTCTTGGACTTTATGAACTTCTTTCAGTGGTATAATCCGAAGAGGCTCCTTATCCTAAAAAATTAGCATCAATAAAAGGTTAAAATTTTAGCAAGTAAATACCAAAAATATACATTGTACAAACCTGTTTTCAAGGGGGGAAAGACAAATATGAAATTTATTGACAAAATAAAAGCTAAATGGACCAAAGGATAAAAGCATACACTACATCTTCTGCATGAGTTTGGTTAACAGAAATAACCCAGATTCTTTCATTCCAGGCTGTTTCCCTAGAAAAAGGAGGGTCCCAGAAAGAATTCAGTTAGCTAATTAATATCTTAACAAAAGGAGACTGAACAGTTCATTTCAGTATTCTACGATTAACATTCTGTAAAAATAATACAGGTAATCCTCATTTAGTGATTGCAATTGGGGGCCAGCAACTTAATTTTAAACAAAACATTTCTTAAGTTAAAAAAAAGTGACAAAAATTGTGCTTATGATTTTACTTCAGCTCGACTCCAAACAGATAAGCCCAAATGGCAAGAAAGGTTTCCGGAACTAAATTCATAAGAAACTGTGTAAAAGACTCTATCTTATAGCCCTTTTTCTCCACTACTCTGGCCTTTGGAATGTTCACCCTGGTGCTGGATAATTAGCAAGACAACGATGTTTCTTAATGTTTTCCCTGCCATCCCAAAGGCACCCAGTGTTCTTTTCTTTATCAAGCTGCCTCTTCCCTTAGGAGCTGAAAATCCTCCGTCCTGAAATCCCAAGCAGCATTTTTTTAACCCGTAATGAGACATTCATGCGTGGCCAGCAACAAGAGCTTCTCTACCCACCTGAGGCAACCGATGCCCCTTACCTATGCTGCCTCCCTGCTCAAGAGCTAAAACTCTAGCTTAGATTTTGGCTCCCCTCTGATCTCCAGATGGTTGAATGAGCTGCCTGCCAAAGAATGTCAGATCTCTTTCCTGCACATTACTCCAACCTGAAGTTCAGGTCCTGTTCTTGCACCTCTGCACAAAGGGGCAGAGGGAACACCTTTGGCGGGGTGCAAGAACAGAATTCTGATCTTCAGGATCTAAGCTCTGTTTTTATACCCCACCAGAGGAGTTCAGTTCCCCTCAACAGGCAACCCTTTTGATCAGGTCCTAGAAACCTCCTCTTGAGGAGTCCTCTTACCAGATGGAGACAGCAGCTTATAAACTTCCTCCCAGCTTCCCCACTGACTTTCTGGGAAGACAGCAAAGATTGCAAATGGCAATCACATCATCAAAGGGTGCTTCACAACCTATCATAAGTATGAACATGACTATAGGGGAAGGGGCATGGTGCTACATGTTACAACAGACCGAAGTGTTTTACAAGCTATCAAGCACCTTTTCCAAGGCCATTGTAACTTCAAACCAATGTTAAACAATGGGTGGCTAAGTCCAGGACTACCTACCTAAATGTGTAGTGAAAAACTGATTAGGGTGTAGTCGATTTCAGGCAGTCGTTGAATGGCAGGGAGCGTTCTAACCAACTAATTAAGGTCACAAAGAGCAGAACTTGTGACTTGCAATTTTTAGGGATATGCTGCACTCTGGAAGAAAGCAGCTCAGGAAAAGGTTACTTATGTAGGCCATCTCTCCCCTTTGATAGGGGGAACGGGGACAAAGAGGTCAAAATTACTTTATTAGCGTCACAACTACAAATCAATGTTGTCTATGGCAGTCACTAAACAATATATCATGATTACTAAGTGCTATTACACTATAATGTTCTTCTTCCTTTTCTTATTATTTTATAGATAATATAGTAATGTTTCATTGGAAATTACTTACATTGACCAAAATGAGATGCCTGCTATTGCAAAGTTTTGCTTACATTAAAAGGCCTTTTAAAATGATCTAGTTATACCGGTAGTACACATATTAAAAACATATTGCGGCACTCAAATGTAATAAAGTAATATCCCAAGGAGCTTGTTAAATACAGTAATCTAATTCAGCCATAAAATTAAACTAGGTTGATTGGTAATTGCTTGAGTACTTGCATGTCCCCTTTTACTTCAATAATCTTTTCTTTCTTTATTATGTACAAAACTGAAATGTAACTAAGCACAACTAAGTTTCAAAGCAGGATGGGAGACCTGCTGCTGACTGTAGCTTTAAACAGTCAGAACCAGCAACGAAGAACACTACAAATATCATTTCAGGTACACCTTCAGGATCAATAAGTTCCTACTTTCACTGTAGAGAAAAAAAACTAGAATTGTAACCCTTATCCATATAGAATAGCAATAACACAATTTTATAATTTACTTGCTTGAGGAGCGGTTTACACACATAGTTTCTGTTTCTTCCCAACCACATAGAGAAGATGGAATTTATGAGCTTAATAATAGCTTAAGGACATACAATTACATCCCACTGGTCACTTTAAAGTAACAGGGCAATCTATACTTTTAAAAGACAAATATTATTTAAATGTTCAAGCACTATAAAATATAAACATTGTGATTTCTGGAGAGATACTCTTGTGCCTAACAGCTACAGATTTCAGAAAGATCTGAGTACATAATTTTCAAATGTGCCAGAGAATTGCAATCTGTATGGAGCTCCCAAGGGATGTCTCAGATAGGCAAAAATTACATAATTTCTGAAGATGAACAAAGCCTTCAGTCAAGTTGACCAAGATGTTTTCTTGACATAAATAGCAGCCTTTTTCAGGGTGGTTGTAAGGATTTCTTGGTAATTTTCTATCTAAGTATTAAGCAGGAATAACTCTATCCATCTAAGTATTAAGCAGGACTAACCCTACTTAACTATTAAATGTTAAATGTTGTGTTAAACATTGTGGTCAGACAAGTTGGCTGGGCCTACCTGCTGAATTTCTGAACCCACTCATCTATGTGGTGTCACCATATGATCTCCCAGCCCTAAGTAACCTCTCTTCAAAATGTGCCATCCCTTGACATCAAGACTTTGTCCTGAAGTATTTTAGAGGAAAAGAGGCATATTCGAAACAGAATAAAAATGAGCTGTTTGTGATAAATATATTTTAATTACAGTAATTATTATACATACTCGAACAGAAAATATATAAATAACCATGTTGAGTGATGAATGGACATGGTTTTGATGTATATTAATGTATTCAGGTTCTGTTCTAATGTTAATTCTTGTGTAAGCAATAAGTGTTTCATGATTTCTGAAAACTTTACAATAGTAAAAAAGAACACATGATCATATTTGAAAACATTCTAATATGTGATATAATAAAAAAACTGTATAAATGTATTAATTTTTACATAGTTTCCTTTCATGTAATATGGTTCATAAGATATGTATTGATCTTTTTCTCAAGCTGGCAAACAATCATCTTTCAAAACCTTTTCTGGGCGCCATCATGTGGTTGCTGTAAGAATTTGATATAGAAAAAAAAATCACAACTAGATAAAATATTATTAGAATCAGAGGAAAAATTTATAACCAAAATGTATAATTAGACGAGGTAGTGAAACCAACTATGATAACCTGGATGAAAATTTTTGGATACAGCATACAATTAGAAGATTGGGAAAGATTATGGACTAAAAAATATAAATTAACATTGACAGCCTCATGTAAAGAAAATTTATATAAAATGTTTTATCGTTGGCATCTATCACCGGCGAGATTGGCTAAAATTTATCCAAACTTAAAATTAGAGTGTTGGAAATGTAAAAAGAAACCCGGTACATTCTTTCACGTGTGGTGGACCTGCCCAAAAGCGAAAGAATTCTGGAATAAGATATAGATCTGGTACAGGATATAACAAGTTTAAAGATAGTACCCAAACCTGAAATGTTTTTATTAGGGATAACCAAAAGAGAATATTCAAAATAGAATGAATGTCTAACGATACACATCTTTAACAGCAGCTAGGATATGATATGGCCAAACTTGGAAATTAGATAGTACACCCACAGATGACATGAGTATAAAAAAAGTAATGGATTGCACAGAAATGAACAAATTCACAATGGAATTGCAGGAGAGGGAAGATAAGGAATTCTATATGGCCTGGGAAAAATGATATGCCTGGTTAGAAACTAGAAAGAAAATATAATGCAAAAGTAGAAGCTTTAAAGAATAATTGTAAATAGTGTGTGTATGTGCTGAGGTAATTCCCCGTTAGGAGAATGAACGCATACAGGGAGACGTATTTGAGAGGAGTGTTTGAATAATACACAAAGAGCACACAGATACACTGTACAGTAAATGTAGGTTTTTACTTCCAGAAACGTTAAGCAAAGTCCAAAATAGGCAGTCCAAAATCATTCACAGGTAAAATCTGTCAATTTTCATCCAGGGATAATCCAAATATCAAAGTCCAGTGTCAAAAACAGTTCAGTATCAGACTTACATTAAATCCATGAATATCAGTCAATTAGGAAAAATGGAGGAACGGCAATACTTTCCAACAGAAGGAAACAGCTACACTCTCTTCTGAGACTCAGACTAAGACAACCCAGGTTTCTGGCTCCATCTTATGGCCATTTGAGTAACCACACCCAATTGCAGTTTTTAGCATGCTCTTAAAGAGACAGTATTAAAATGTCTATCCTGGTTTGTATATTTCTAACCCAAATACCTGTTAGGTGACTTATATTCCTAACATTCTCCCCTTTTGGGTGAGACAATATATACAACCTTACAGTCTAAGTCCATAATCTTCACAGCTAGCCTTATGCTTTATAGAGCCTTGGGCCTTTGTAAAATGATCTGCTATATTATTTTCTGACATAAAGTATTCTAGCTTAATCATCTTACTTTGCACACATTGTCTCACATTTAAATATCTTAAATCTGTGTGTTTCGTTCTTGTTTTAACAGCAATATTTGAAGCCATCTGTATTGCTGATTGGTTATCTTCGTAAACAACAATAGGATCTTTTACATCAATTCCCATATCAATTAATAATTGCTTATACAAAACTAAATCTGTACATAATAAAGATAAACATGAGAATTCAGCCTCCATTGTTGACAAACTTAGATGTTTCTGTCTAATAGATCTCCATCCAATCAATGCTTTTCCCAATA